GTCTTTTGGGTATCTACCTTGGATTCACTTTTTAAGACTTGTTCCATGACCACTTCCCAGTTCCTCAGCAGACTGAATTGGCTGGGAGGATGGGGATGCACAGCTGGGAGGATGGGGAACAGAATGATGAAAAAAACACCCCAAATAGATGTACTTTGATTAAAAACAAAACAAAACACGGGTGTAATTAAGGGCACAGGCGACTGTCTGCGTTTAAACTCTTTTTGTTTTAAACCAAAAAAGTCATGTTTTTCCATTCCCTTTGAGAACGGAACAAGACAAGGATGTCCTTTATCACCACTCCTATTTAATACTGTGCTGGAAGTCCTAGTGAGAGCAATAAGGCAAGAAAAAGAAATAAAGGGCATCCAAATTGGTAATGAAGAAGTAAAGCTGTCCCTATTTGTGGATGATATGATAACTATACACAGAAAGCCCAAAAGAATCTGTGAGAAAATTACTGGAACTAATACATTCAGCAGAGAAGCAGGATATAAGATAAACATACAAAAATCAGTTGGATTCCTATACACCAATAAAGAGAATGATGAAAAGGAAAACAATATAATTTATAATAGCCCCTAAAAAAATAAAATATTTAGGAATAAATCTAACCATGGATGTAAAAGACCTATACAAAGAAAACTACAAAACACTACTGCAAGAAACCAAAAGACATCTACATAAATGGAAAAACATACCATGCTCATGGATAGGTAGACTCAACATTGTGAAAATGACAATTCTACCCAAAGCAATTTACAAATACAATGCAATCCTGATCCAAATACCAACAACATTCTTTAAAGAGATGGAAAAACTAATCATTAACTTTATATGGAAAGGGAAGAGGACCTGGATAAGTAAAGCACTACTGAAGAAGAAAAATAAAGTAGGAAGACTCGCGCTAACCGACCTCAGAACCTACTATACAGCTACAGTAGTCAAAACAGCCTAGTACTGGTACAATGACAGTTACATTGACCAATGGAACAGAATTGAGAACCAGATGTGAATCTATCTACCTATGGTCACTTGACCTTCGACAAAGGCCCAAAGTCCATCAAATGGGGAAAAGACAGTCTTTTTAACAAACGGTGCTGGCAAAACTGGATGTCCATCCGCAAAAAAATGAAACAGGACCCATACCTCACACCATACACAAAAACTAATTCAAAATGGATCAAAAACCTAAAAATAAAACCAAAAACTATAAAGATCTTAGAAGAAAAAATAGGATCAATGCTAGAGGCCCTAAAACATGGCATTAACAGGATACAAACCATAACTAACAACACACAAACTCTAGAAGATAAGCTAGGTAACTGGGATCTTCTAAAAATTAAACACTTATGCTCATCAAAAGACTACACCAAAAGAGTAGAAAGAAAACCTACAGACTGGAAAAATTTTTTTGGTTATGACAAATCCGACAAAGGCCTAATCTCTAAAATCTACAGGAAAATCTAACACCTCTAAAACAAAAAGACAAATAATCCAATTAAAAAATGGTCAAAGGAAATGAACAGATACTTCACCAAAAAAGACATTCAAGAGGCCAAAAGACACATGAGGAATTGCTTGCAATCACTAGCCATTAGAGAAATGTAAATCAAAACCACAATGAGATACCATCTCACCCTGGCATTACTGGCACAAATCAAAAAAACCAGAAAATAACTAATGTTGGAGAGGCTGCGGGGAGACTGGAAGTCTTATGCACTGCTGGTAGGAATCAAAATGGTACAACCATTTTGGAAAATGATATGGTGCTTACTTAGATAGCTAGAAATAGAAATGCCATATGATCCAGCAATCCCACTCCTAGGAATATATCCTAGAGAAATAAGAGACATCACAAATAGACATATGCACACCCATGTTCACTGCAGCATTGTTCACAATAGCGAAAAGATGGAAACAACCTAGATGCCCATCAGCAGATGAATGGATAAACAAGCTATGGCACATATACACAATGGAGTACTGCACAACGAAAAAGAACAATGATGAATCTGCAAAGCATCTCACAACATGGATGAATCTGGAGGGCATTATGCTGAGTGAAATAAGTCCATCACAAAAGGACAAATATTGTATGAGACCACAACTATAAAAACTCATTAAAAGGTTTACACATAAAAAGAAACAATATTTGATGGTTATGAGGGAAGGGAGGGGTAGGGATGGAAAAACACTAAATAGACAATAGATAAGTGGTAACTTTGGTATAGGGTAAAACAGTATACAATACTGGGGAAGCCAGCACAACTTGTACAAGGCAAGGTCATGGAAGCTCCATAGATACATCCAAACACCCTGAGGGACTGAATTACTGCGCTAAGGGCTGTGGGGACCATGGTCTCTGGGGACATCTAACTCAATTGGCATAACACAGTTTATAAAGAAAATGTTCTACATTCTACTCTGGTGAGTAGTATCTAAGGTCTTAAAAGACTGTGAGCGGCCATCTAAGATACTCCACTGGTCTCACCCCTTCAGGAGCAAAGGAGAATGAAGAAAACTAGAGACACGAGGGAAAGATTAGTTCAAAGGACTCATGGACCACAACTACTACAGCCTCCACCAGACTGAGTCCAGTACAACTAGATGGTGCCCGGCTACACCACTAACTGCTCTGACAGGGATCACAGTAGAGGGTCCCAGACAGAGCTGGAGAAAAATGTAGAACAAAATTCTAACTCACAAAAAAAGACCAGACTTACTGGTCTAACAGAGACTGGAGAAACCCCGAGAGTGTTGTCCCCGGAAACTCTTTTAGCTCAGTAATGAAATCACTCCTGAGGTTCACCCTCTAGCCAAAGTTTAGACAGGCCCATAAAATGAAATGAGACTAAAGAGACACAACAGCCCAGGGGCAAGGGCTAGAAGGCAGGAGGGGATAGGAAAGCTGGTAATAGGGAACCCAAGGTCAGGAAGGGAGAGTGTTGACATGTCGTGGGGTTGTTAACCAATGTCATAAAACAATATGTGTACTGCTTAATTAGAAACTAGTTTGTTCTGTAAACCTTCACCTAAAGTACAATTAAAAGAAAAAAAGAAAGTCATGTTTTTCTTATAAACTTTTTTCTTCTCCAATGGGAATATTTACAGTGACCAAGTAAATGATGAGCCAAAATAATGGCACTAAGGATCAAAGTAATTCACATCAATTAAAGACATATTATTTTCAAAAGTAAATAAAGTTTACTTTCTCAAATAGTTTTAACAAACATATATTCTTACTTTGTGATTTCAGAAATAACATATTTGTTTAATGGACAGTAGAGCTACTACTAATATAGTTTATATGAAAACAGATTTCTTCATCAGCGCTTAATTGGAGCATTTAAATGTATGAAACTGGAAAGGCATTAAATTTGCTTGACATGAAAATGCACAATCAGCATTCCAAAAAAAAAAAAAAATTTTTTTTTTAGAAGTGATTGGAAAAATTCCCTTAATTCTAATCAATCATCCTCTATTTACTTTGGCAAGCTGGGAATGATAGATAAACATCTGTAGGGTACAGACAGTCTTCTTAGTTTGTGAAACTAGCTTCTTTGTTATAGTTCAAAACCAAAAGGGGAAAAGAAATGTCAGCTTAATTTTCATAAAGAATCTCCCAGAAAAAAATAATGTAAGAAAAAACTACTACTTCTTCATATAAAAAAATTACTTATCTTAGTTCTCAGTTTGATTAGTTAGAAAGCTGATGGCAATACTTTTAATTTTGGTGGGTAGTGGAAGAGGGACAAGAAATTTTAAGTAAATACAAGACAATTTTTGTTACTATTTTCCCAAAAAGGATTTTCAACAACAGAGAGATGGTGGAGTATCAGGTGCAGATGATCCACTAAAAATAAAAATCAGGTTAGGCAACAGACCTCTTATTCTTCTTGAGAGTACTTAATAAATATATAATCCTGAAGTACTTTTCTTTTGTTCTTTGCTTGTATTCAGGCAAATATATCTTTTGTATAATTTTAAGTGTGTTTATTATTAGCAGTCACTTATGCCTGTCTGAAAATACGGGGAACAGCAATAGAATCAGAAGGGATGAAGCCAAAAAAGTAATGTGAGTAAAGCACTATTTTTAAACCTAAAAAAATTTTAGTTTCTGTAAAACAATATAGTTTATTCTTCCACAGATTTTATTACATCCTAGGTAATTATGTTAAGCTTTATCTTTTTAACTATAGCATCAAACCTTAGACTATACTTATTATCCATATTCTTACACTTCAGCATTCAACTCCTAAATTTACCAGCTCCTGCCCTGTGAATACCCTATATAGCTTAATTTACCATCCTGCATTGCATGATGCAGAATTTCCCTGGAGTGTGATTTGCTCTCCTAAGAGGACAGTATTTCCTTATTTCCATAGCAAGCAGCTATGGCCAGGAAGGGGCAAAGTTTCATGCGAGCTACATTTTTGTATAACCATTTGCTGTTACTAGTTACCGTCAAGCTGAATCTGACTCATGGTGACCCCAAGTGTGCAGAGTAGACTTGCTCCACAGGGTTTTGAAGGCTGCAACCTTTCAGAAGCAGATTGCCAGGCCTTACTTCTGAGGTGTCTCTGGGTGGGTTTGAATCACCAAACTTTTGGTCAGTAGTCCACAGATTCTCCAACACCTTCCCAGAGACCTTCATAAGCTGAAGATAAAGGGGCCTTCCTAAGCAAAATGCTAAAGAAGGTAAATATGTGACTGTCCCCAGGCATTTGTTTCTGTGCTCTTTTACCCTTTGGGTAGCATCACTTTCCCTGTGAGATGAAACTAAACCACAACAAACTAGTATGACCCAGTTTTGTATCTACAGTGCTGGGCCAGTTAAAAAGGCAGTATGCAAAGGAGAGAATCCAGAGAGGGATGATAAGATCCAAGCAGAAGAGATTCTGGAGGGGCGGATCATTATCTCTTGCAAAGGCTTTAAGAATGTCTCATTACTTTACAGTCAAATTTCATTTAATGATTCTATTTATTTAGAGATATACCTGGTAAATCAGAGAAGAGAAGAATGCACTCGTTAAAGCCATTAGCCAAAAGCCGGTCCCGCAGCTGCTGAAGAATTGCTACTCCGATACAGAATGGGAAAGAGGAATTCCCAAGTAGTAAGGTATCCCAGAGGTGAAAGATTTTGTGCAGTGGAAATACATCTGAAAAATGACAAAACAAATTAATCAGCTAAATAAAAATAAAATTAAAAAGATAAAAATTGGAACAATAACAACATGTTTTACTAGACACATCGCTATTACCTTATGATCAAAACTATTATTGAAGAACAAATAATACCATACTGTTTCTATAAAATATTTGTCTTTCTAGAAATTTATTGCTTCCTAAGGCATCTTAAAGAATAATCAGACTGGCCAAATAGATGACATTTTCTAACTTCAGTATCAATCTTGGCATAGTTGGGCCATTCATTATATTTCTCCCCAAAATTTTTCAGGTTATATTATCTTCACAAGTCTACTTTCCTAGATGAACTTTAATATTGCTTTAGGCTCAGTATTATTAAATTTTCATTATACACTCTAAAAAATTGCTTTATTAGATTCCCATCAAAAAGTTCTATTGACAATTTTCTATTTTTTTGGCAACTTTTTTTTTTTCACCTGACAATTACACTGTAGATATCTTTCTAGGCCAATTCATATAGATCTACTTCAAATACTATATCTCATTTATCATATGTACATATTTAAGCAAGGATGTCTACTATAACTATATTAATATTTGTACTGAATAAAGTATTGCATGTTTACAAAAATCTGCTTACTTTCTAGGGGATCCTAGTTTAGAAAATAACAAAAGAATTAGTTATGAAAGACTCTCTAAAAATTAAGACTCATTTGCTGGAAAAGTTTATCTCCAAAACTTTATGTAAATACTATAGTAAATATTAATTTCTTTTTCAATAGAAAGCAGAGATTATATGAATGTCATGACATACAGGTTTTCATCCTATAAAATTCCCTTTTTGATTTTCAGAGGTCAGAATAATTGGCATTCTTTTTTACCCAAATCTATATGTTGGAATTACGTAAAGATGCTTATCAAGTCTGCTAATATTATTGTAAATATAATATACTGGGGCAGAATGGAGCTGTCTTTTTGCTAATAAAATATTAAAAGGGAAGGAAAATGATACTTACGGGTAAACATAGTTAGAAACCAAGGGATGGCATAAAGCTATGAGTGGAAAAAGAAAGGGACACAGGGGATGGATAAAGAGAAAATAAAAAAGATAATTAGAACGATTACCAGTAAACTGAATGTTGAACAAAAAAGTTCAACTTTCTATTTTACTCCATGAATAAAAAGAATGTAGATAATTATAGTTATTATCACAAATACTATATTATATAACGGTATCTATCGACATTATAAATGTTGTAGATGACCCTTGTGCCAGGATTTATTCTACAGAATGTCTTTATTTCTCTAAAGGCTACACTCAAGATCATGGCTAATCCAAATGCAATACCAACATGTTAATATTAAGGGCGTACTTTTCAGGTTGTATTTAAAAAAAAAAAAAAGTCCTCATCTGTGTTGAGGTACTCTTACTGAGTATTTTTTAGATTTATGAGACATTTGAAAAATGTTCAAAATGTCTCACAAAAAGATGTTATGAAGCATTATGCTTTCTGTTATCACTTTCTAAGTTAACAGGAGACTTTATAACAGACTAAAAGCAATAAGATCTAGGAATAGAATCATCTGGTTCTTTAGCTCAATGACAAATTTATTTTCCTAAGTTTACTGCATGGGAAATATGTGTGTGTGTGAGTGTGCATATATTCATACATATTTTCAATTAATTTTGAGATTCTGAAAGTGAAAAATCATTCTTAATTTCTAAAAATAAAATCTTTGTTGGTAGCAAGTATCAAAAATCAATAGTAATTTATAGAAATACTTGAAAAGCACCAATTTTACTCTTTGAGTTAATACAGTTTGCTATTAAACGAATTTTGTACCACCTATATGGCTTAAATAAATATTATCTCAGCACCTATCAATTATGAATTTATGTGTAGGGATGCATTTTGTCTTTGCATCATGCACAACTGAGTATTAATGCTATCAACATGCCATTCAAGAACGATATAAGTATAAACATACAGTACATTAAAAAAATCTAAGTAATGTATGTGAAATAAAGTCCAATGCTCTCTATAATATCATCATTTATATATGTTGACACACAAACAGTTCTTTCTAGTGACATTATAAATGGGAAAAGTGAAAATAGAAAGGTATGTGTTTTCACTATGAAGACCATGGGTTGTAGAAAACAATAAAGCATAAAATACGAACTCTTTAGACTAATTTAAAAATAAATCAGCAGAGATTTGCTTCATCACTATGATTAATCTTTTCTTCCTTTTAAGGACGTAACATCAATCATATCATCCTCTACTCATCGGATCAAAGCCAATTATTTGTCTTCAGGAATCTTTTCAGAATTTCTTCAACAACTAGCTCACAGTCTCCTTTTCCATATTAATTTCTGCAATTATTAACTTCATCAGTCTCTACAGAGAAATTCTGCTTCTGACCAAGATAAATAACAGGGATAGGGATTTACCCTCCCACTTGAAACACCTAAAAAAAAAGTCAGACAGAATATATGAAACTATTTGCAGATTTTAGACCTGAGGCAGCAAAGACAGTAATGCCTGAGAGGAGGAAAACAATCATCCAGTTTACTATGTGAAATCAGTTCCCAGGACTCAGCACAGGAAGGAAGGAACCAGGTAGAGCATGGTGGCCACCATGAGGTGAAGAGGTAGAGTTGGGAGTCTGGGGAGGCCATATTGGCTAGAATTAGCTGGTACAGCACTGGAGAGGAAAAGAGCTATCCAAAGAGAAAGCTCCAGAGATCTGGAGACGGTTCCCCTTGAATCTTTGCTGAGCACTGAAGATCGCATATATCTGAGGAAACTACACAAAGCTAGGGAAGAAAATAAATAAATAAAAACACACACACACACACACACGTATACACACACACACATCTGAAAGGATCAGAGGGAAAAATTATCAGGGCTTATATAATGCAGGAAAAAATGTCTCCAGATATTGCCAAATATTCCCTGGGAAGCAAAATTCTCCCTGGTAGAGGAATACTGTATAAATTCTAAAGAAACCACTAAGAAAACACAGCAAAGAGTTATAGCTAATATACCAACAAAGACAATAAAAGAGAATCACAGGAAAAAAAAAAAAAAAAACTTGGTTAATCCAAAGGGGAAAATAAAAACAAATTGCCATAGAGTAATTCCGACTCATGGTAACTCCATATGTGTCAGAGCAGAACTGTGCTCCATAGGGTTTGCAGAGAAAAAGGACAAAAAAAACAAAGAACTGATAGGAAATGCAGAACAAAAATATCAAGATGTCGGATTTAAAACTAACCATATCAATAATCACAACAATGTCAATGCTCTAAACACAATTAAAAGACAGAGATTGTCAGATTGGTTAAAAAGCAAGAAACTACTATATGCTGCCTGCAAGAAATTCACTTTAAATATAAAGATACAAATAGGTAAAATGCTAAAGAACTGAAAAGATAAACCATGCTAACACAAATCAAAAGAAAGCTGGAGTGGCTACAAAATAGATTTCAATGCAAAGATATTACTAGGGATAAAACCTGTTGCCATCGAGTCGATTCTGACTCATAGTGACCCTACAGGACAGAGTAGAACTGCCCCACAGTTTCCTTTTGGTTAGCAGCTGATCTCTTAACCACTGCACAACCAGGGCTCCCGGGATAAATAAAGTCATTTCATAATGATAAATAGGCCAGGTCATCAACAGGACATATTAATCCTAAATGTTTATGTACCTAATAAACATTCAAAACAAAAATGAATAGAATTGAAAGAATAAACAAAACCACAATAATAGTTGGAAATTTTAATACCTCTCTCTCAAAATAGAACAAGTAGACAAAAAATCAATAAGGATATAGACTTAAACAACACTATCAACCAACCGGAGCTAATTGGTAGTTATAAAACACTCCATTCAACAACAGAAAACACATTCTTTCAAAATACACATTCACCAAGAAAGAACATATTCTGGGACATAAAACTAGTGTCAATAAATTAAAAAGGACTCATATATGGGACAGAGTAGCAGAGGCGGGGGTCTGGGGACCATGGTTTCAGGGGACATCTAGGTCAACTGGCATAATGAAGCTTATTAAGCAAATGTTCTGCATCCCACTTTGGTGAGTGATGTCTGGGGTCTTAAAAGCTAGCGAGCGGCCATCTAAGATGCATCGATTGGTCCCAACCACCTGGAGTAAAGGAGAATGAAGAATACCAAAGACACAAGGAAAGTATTAACCTAAGAGACAGAAAGGGCCGCCTAAACCAGAGACTTCATCAGCCTGAGACCAGAAGAACTAGATGGTGCCTGGCTACCACCAATGACCAGCCTGACAGGGAACACAACAGAGAGTCCCTGATGGAGCAGGAAAAAAGTGGGGTACAGAACTCAAATTCTAGTAAAAAGACCAGACTTAATGGTTTGACTGAGACTGGAAGGACCCCGGAAGACATGGCCCCCAGACTCTCTGTTACCCCAAAACTAAAGCCATTCCTGAGGCCAACTCTTCAGACAAAGATTAGACTGGACTATGGGACATAAAAATGATACTCGTGTGTGCTTCTGAGCTCAAACAGATATATGAGACTAAAGGGGCAGCTCCTGTCCGGAGGAGAGATGAGAAGGCAGAGAGGGTCAGCAGCTGGTTGAATTGACACACGAAATCCACGGTGGACAGAAGGAGTGTGCTGTCACAGTATAGGAAGAATAACTAGGGTCACATAACAATGTATGCATAAATCTTTATATGAGAGACTAACCTGAATTGTAAACTTTCACTTAAAGCACAAAAAAAAAGGACTTATATAAAGTATATTCTCTTGCCACAAATTAATTTAGAATTTAATAAGGCATCTGAAAAATTCCCAGATATTTAAAAACTAAATAATATACTTCTAAAATCATCCATAATTCAAAAAAGAAATAAAAAATAAAAGTATTTTGACCTGAATGTAAATAAAAAATACAACACATCAAAAATTTTAGGACATAGCTAAAACAGTACCTAGAGAGAAATTTATATTTACAGTACAATATACTTATATTAGAAAAGAAGAAATGTCTCATATCAATGATCTCAGCTTCTATTAAAAAAATAGAAAAAGGGCAAATAAAACCAAAAGTAAAAAGGAAGGAAATTACAAAGACAAGAATAGACATCAATGAAATAGAAAACAAAAAAATAATAGAAAAAAATCAATGAAACCAATAGCTAGTACTTAACAAATGTCTGTAGAATCTCTTCTGAGCTCCAGGATTATATTTTTAATAGTCTATCAGATATTTCCACATATACATCTCACTCCACTCATAGTGACCTATAGGACACAGCAAAACTGCCCCATAGGGTTTCCAAGGCTGTAATCTTTATGGAAGCAGACTGTCATACCTTTCTCCTGCAGAGTTGCTGAGTGGGTTCAAACTGCTGGCCTTTTGGTTAGCAGCCAAGCACTTAACCACTGTGCCACCAGGCCTCCTTGGATGTCTCACTAACATCTCCAATTCAACATATTTAAAACTAAACTTATGGTCATCCCCAAATTACCCCTTCTTGCTACCACCAACATTATTCCTGTCATTTAGGCTCAAAAATCTTATAATTTAAAAACATTTCCTGTCAAGTCCTATAGATATTATTTCTACAACATTTCTTCTTGTCTTTCTTTTTTTTATCCATATATACTAAACAACCCTGTTTTAGTTTTCACTTTCTTGCATAGACTATTGCAAATGTTTCATAGCTATTCTCCTAGCTTTCAGATTCACTCTGCTGTGATCTTTTATTTAGCCAAACTGATCTCTCTAGAAATGTAACTCTGATGACATCATTTCCCTGATTTAACATGTCAATAGTTTCCCAAATTGCACACTAACTTAAGTATAAACTTCTTATGCATTTAAGGCTATTGTGAATTAGGAGAAGAAGCCAAGCACTTGGAGTCAAAAAATGTGCATTTGAATCTCAGCTCTGCCAATTACTGATACTGTGCATTGGGCAAGTCAGTTAACATCTATGAATTCCAAATTCTTTGCTTCTGAAATAGGGAAATTAGCATCTGTCT